TAAAGAAATCTAACTAATAAACTAATATAATAATGCTAATAAAAATATATATAAAAATTAAGAAATAAGGTTAACAACACCAAAAAGAACCAGTAAAGATCCCGATATACAACAGTCAGAGAATTCTATCAAATCAAGAGCACCATTACCTCATTTAGCTAAAGAGGATATCGATTGTATAATGTATGCCAAGGAATTAAAAAGTGGATTTAAAAAAGTTTTGGAGTGGTATAGAATTGGTATACAAAGTGTAATAAAATATAGAAGTCTGAGAACTTATACTCATATGTAAATTCAATCGAAAACACAAACTTACCTAACTAATATATCAATAATAGTAAATTTGAGAAGGTGAATACATCGCCTCAACTAACACCTCAAATAGATATATCTAAGAAACCCGATATTGTCAAGCCTGATCCCATCAAAGTAAAGAGGATACGAAAACAGGATGAAATGGAACAAATTGCAAAGAATATTTTTATATCAGAATTGAGTAAATTAATACAAGCTGATGACTAAAATTATATAAAAATCCAGAGACAGATACATAACTAAACCATGTACTAATTCTATTAATTTCATTCTGAGATTTTTTATTTATCAAATATAAAGAAAGCGAGTCGACCTACCCATCTGCCATATATATTTTTTCGGTTAGCTCCATTGATTATCTATTAAATAAAAAGCCTTAGTTAATAGTGGAGCTAGTATCAAAGACACATAAAATCCATATGTTTGAGATAGCAAATATACAATATGAGTTATAGCAGAGTAAGAGATAAGTTAAGTGAATATGGTGAAAATTATATTGTTAACATTATTAAAATGTCAGAAGTATGATTACGGTTTGCAAAATATTATTCATCAAAATATTTTTTTTTTTTTTTTTTAATAGTTTTAATGAGACTTTGCCTCAAATTTATTAACTAAAAAAAAAGAAAGTCTCCTACATTAATATTACATAATATAAGATACACAACTTATTTTAATAACTATCGAAAAGATGAGACTCAGACTAATTCAAATTGTCTATCCTAGGATTAACACGAAACACGCCTGCAACCTACCGCCAATATTATTCACCAAAATATATATGCAAATGTTTATTAAAATTAGGATATGAAATAAATAATAGAGATTACTGGGAAAATTTCGTATTTCGTATTAAAAATAATTTAACCAGCCATAAACAAATAGGTAATGACCTTGAATATAGGAATTTTAAAGTTCAACTAGCATTGTATAAAAAAAATTATGCATCATTAATTATCTAGCAAACATATCATTTATAGAAAAAACAAATTAATTCTGCTAAAATAATTCAGCATACAGTAATTAAATGGCTTTATCAACTAGGTAGATCATTTATGAAACAAGCCAAAGATCAATATTATCAAAATGCAAATAAGCTTAGTTAAAAATACTAATTTTGTTTTAACTGTATTAATAAACTACAGTAATCAGATTTTTTACGTATTACGTTGTATATGATCATGCCATGATTATCTAATTTTTTACTGTATGTCATATCAAAATAATTATTGGCAATCGTTACAGATTAAAGTTAAATAAATTAATACAATGGTACTTACGTACCAGCTACTTCGTATGACCCAATTTCTCACATATATCCTCATTCGTCATTTTTTGATTAATTTTTATATTTTTCGCCAATCATAAATTTCACTAAGAATGAACTAATTTACCTATTTTTGTACCGTTTCAGACGTAATGCCAATTCAAGTTGAGTTGTAATAATGGAGTTAGTGTTGTTATCCATGTAAACCTTCTACAATTTACAAAGACAACAAGGTAAAATAATACTAAAACTAATAAACAAAACTAAA